TGTTGCTTTTTAAATATGTATGTGCATTATTTTATTCTCCTTATATTTTTTAATTAATTTTATGATTTTTAGTTTTTAAATATGAATGGTGATATTGAATTGATTGAAAGAAAATTGAAAGATGAATTGTGTAAAATATATGAAGATGATATAAATCCTCTTTTAATTTTAAATGATTTTGAAAATATTAAAAATGAACTAAATAAAATAAATAAGGAATTAGATAGCTTATATATAAAGAAAAAGTTAAGCATAAATTATTTACACAGGCAAATGCAAAATTACAACTTTTTATTAAACTTAGAAAATAATTTAAATATATCATCAAAAGAATTTAACAATTATCATAATTCTGAAATAATATTAAACAATTTTTTTTATGATAACATAAGAAAGTTTTTAATGAATATAAATTATGATGAAATTAAAGAATTGATTTATATTAGCAATTATCATAAAACTATAGAAAAAGAGATATACTCCAATGGGAAATTAAATGGCATATATGATGAAGCAAAAAATTCCAAGAATATATCGTTAGATTCTAATTTTTCTAAAAATAACGTAGATAATAACGAATCAAAAGAAAATATAAAGATATTAGATAATGAAAATACTGTTGATGAAAATAAAATTGGTAAGGCACATCATGAGAATGATATCAACAATTTATTTATTCCAATTAATCAAGATACATTTCAATCAGTTCCAGTATTAATTAGAAGAAGAGCTAAATTAGAAGATGTAAATTTAATTTATAAAACATTGTATGATATGGCTATAAAAAAAGGAAGGTTAATATATAAAAGAAATCATAATAGTTACTCTTTATACACAATAGTTTTTTTTTAATGTTATTAATACTACATATATGTATATATATATGTATCTTTTTTTTTTTTTAATACATTGTTTCTTTATGAAATATTATTTCTCTAATATTTTCTTAATACATGGTGTATTCTGAAATATATTTTTATATATATATTGTGAGTTAAATTTAAATAATAAACAATTCTTATACCTATTATATATTTTTTTTCTTATAGTTGCCATCCAGTAGAAAAATCTGAATTAACAAATATGAACTTGCAAGTTTTTGGGCAAACAGGTTTTTTATATTAAAAAAAAAAAAAAAAAAATTTCTCTATGAAATTTTCATAATTTTTTTCTTTTCTCTTCTTTTTTTTATTAATAGGAGAAGCAAAAATTGCCACACTGCGATATTTAAAAATTATAGAAGTCATTAACAAGTAACATTAATTTTTTTTAAATAATATATTTAATAATTTTATTTTTTCTTTAGTTTGATTCATACTTCATATATTATTTTTATTTTAATTTTTAATTTTTTTCTATTTTTAGAACTGGTTCTGTGAGGTTATTAAATTGTGCTGGAATAAAAAAAAAAAAAAAGAAAAAAAAAACTTGGCTTTCAAAATAATAATTATAAAAAAAAAAAGTATACATTGAATAAAACTGTATATCAATGATTTGTATTTAAAAAATAATATGTAGAACTGATTTTTAAAAGTATATTAAGATATATATTTTCTTTTTTCATTATTATATTTTTTTTTTATGAAAAGAAAAAAAAAATATTATTTTATTTTAAAACATTTTTTATAACATATATGTGCTAACATTACGTTCTAAATATGATGATGCAAAAAAAATTTTTTTTTTTTTTTTTGATAATTTCGATTACATATATGTATTTTTGTTAAACATATACATATCATATCAGAATTTTTAATATTTTACAATTTTTTTTTTAATCATTTATTAAAAATTTTTTTTTAGTGCAATTTAAGCATTTTGTTATTTTTTATATATTAGAAATGATATATTTATTATTGTTTTTATTTTTTATATTATTAAGAAAAAGTGAAATACAGTCAAAAAAAAGCTTTAAGAAATTGAACATTTTAAACTTTATACCTTTTCCTAACAAAAATTTGATAACCAAAAGAATTGAAAAAGAAATATTAAATTCAAGTTTAAAAAAAAATGAGGATAATATAATTATTTGCAAAGAAAAAAGAAATATATCCAATTTATCTAATATTTCAAAAAGTAGTAAAGAGATAAAAAAAAAATCCGTATTAAATAATTTAGAAAATTATGGATGTGAAAATGGAATGAAAAATTTTAAAAATGATAAGCAAGATATAGTAAAACAAGATGAAAATATTATAAGCGAAAATAATAACGTAATAGGAAAAAAAAAAAAAAAAAAAAAAAGTTATAAAAAAGTTCAAAATATTATGCCCACTAATGATATTAAAGACCTAAAAAAAGATATAAAATTATTTTTTTTTAAAAAAAGAATAATATATATAACTGATGAAATAAATAAGAAAACAGCTGATGAAATAATTAGTCAGCTATTATATTTAGATAATTTAAATCATGATGATATTAAAATATATATTAATTCACCAGGAGGATCAATAAATGAAGGATTAGCTATTTTGGATATTTTTAATTATATAAAATCAGATATTCAAACAATATCTTTTGGTTTAGTTGCATCAATGGCATCTGTAATTTTGGCTAGTGGTAAAAAAGGAAAAAGAAAATCTTTACCTAATTGTAGAATTATGATTCATCAACCTTTAGGAAATGCATTTGGGCATCCACACGATATTGAAATACAAACAAAAGAAATTCTTTATCTTAAAAGTCTTTTATATAACTATTTGTCTAGATTTACTAATCAATCTATTGAAACAATAGAAAAGCATTCAGACAGAGATTTTTACATGAATGCATTAGAAGCTAAAAACTATGGAATTATAGATGAGATAATAGAAACAAAATTGCCTCATCCTTATTTTAATGAAATTTAAATTGCATTAATATTTAAAAATGAAAAAAAACTTATATAAATTTAAATATAAAATATTATAGGTGAAATACTACAATTATAAATTTTATTAAGTTGATCAAAATTGTTTTTTTATGGAATAACAATCTTTATGTAATTTTTTACATAAAAATTATTAAAAAAAAAATTTTGTACTATCTTAATATTTTTTTTTTTTTTTTTATATTTTATGTAAAAATTAAAAAAGTGCATTATAATTTTTAATTAAATATATTAAATATGTACATAATTTCATATATATATATATAAGTACATATTTTATGACAATTTTTTTTTTTAGTTTTTATAAAATTGTTTGAACTTTAATTTTTTTTTTTTTTTAAACCAATTACTAAAAAACTAAAAAAAAAAATTATATATATATAAATATATATACATATATATAAATACATAAATACATATATAAGTATTAATAAACAATCTAAAGAATAATAATATATAATACAAAATAAATTACGAGAAAAAATATACTAATATATAATAAAATACGATATAAATCCTAATAAATATTATTTAATAATCAAAAAATATATTAATAAATAATATATTTGAAAATAGATAATTTTCATATATTTTAAATAATAATAAAAAAAAAAAAAAAAAAAAAAAAAAAAAAAAAAAAAAAATCCAGAAAATCCAGATAATCTTGTATTTCACTATTACTTTTAAATAGGTTTTGTTTAACTTTTTTTTTTGTTTTTTTTTAATCCTTTAGATTATTAATTTGGCACAACATTTTTAATGGCATTAAAGAATTGATATTACTTCTACATTGAAAGTTTAATATATTTTCATCTTCTAATGATGTGTAGTTAGTAAAATTATTTGTAAAAATTTCTTCTGCCATATTTAATAACTGCTTTGCTAATTTAAATAGAATTTGAGCTTTCGTATTATCATTTAATAAACTAAAATCCTTCACTACAAGATGCAAAAGTTCTACTATCTGTAATTCATTCATATCATTATTAATACCATTTAAATTAGTGCTATTAAAAGAATAAAAAGTATCTCCTATGTTATTAAAAGATTTATTATTATTACTATTATTATTATTATTTATTAATGAAAAAGGAGAAACTTCAAATGAATTGTTTGTTAAAACCACAGGATTATTTAATGATAATGTATTATTTGGATTTGTTTTATTTGTTAAATTAATTTCATTCACAAAAGGAATATTACGATTTCCATTTATTAAGTCATTTGATGAGTCATTATGTACAACACTTGTTGTTATTTTATTTGGTATATTAGAATTATCATAGTTACTTGCGTAAATAAAATAGGAATTAATGGTATCATAATTAGTAAAATATTTCGAATCATTTACTATTTGATTTGAGTATAAGTTATTATTAAAGTTCTCTGTATCTATATACGATTTATTATTTAATGACTCACTTATATCATTATTGCTCCCATTAAAATTATCAACAGGATTTGATGCATTACTTTTTGAACAACTATGTGACATATTATTTGCATTAAATGATTTATTTATATTCGCTTGATAATAATAATCACTATTGGTATTATTATTACTATCATTATTATCATTACTATAATATGTATCCACACTTCCTTCATTACTAACATTTTTTTTTTTAATATTTTCTTTAATACCTAATTTTTTTAGTTTTAGTAAAAATTTTTGCAATTTGCTTCCAACATGTAACCTTGATAAATTCTGCATATTTTTTATATCATTCAAATTTTTCTCCTCCAAATCTTCAAACTTTTTATGCATGTATGACAAAATACGACATGGTGTTGGTTCGTATGTCGAATCTTTTATTTTCTTTTGTTGCTCTAGAAAATAAAAAACCGATTCTTCAAATCTGCATGTAAAATATATATAAATTTATTTTTTTTTTTTAAATATGAAATATAAAATTATAATAAAATATATATATATATATATATATATATATATATATATATACAGGAAAATATAAATTTATATAATTTTACATTTCAAGCATTTTAGGTGTCCATTTCATTCTGTTTGACCACTTTACTTTGTAATTTTTTATTTGATTATTATTATAATTTTTTAACTTTGATAATTTCTTTTTTCTAATTTTTTTTAAATTGTGTTGTAAGTTAAAATCATTTGGTTCATTTTTTAAACATTCCTTTAAATTTCTCTTTTTTATTTTTTCTTCATTTGAATAAGTATCATCATAATCATTCTTAGCGAACATACAAGATGAATAGCTATTATTAGAACTCATTTTTATATAGTTTTAGAAAAAAAAAAAAAATAAAATAAAAAAATAAAGTTTCAAAAAAAAAAACATAAAATTAAATACTAATATATATATATACTTATATATATATTTATTCCTATTAATATTTTATTAATATTTCAAATTAAAAATATTTTTTTAGAAATAATAATTATTAGAAAAAAATAGGCAATTCAAAAAAATTACAAATAATAAACCAAAAAAAAAAAAATAAAAAAAAAAAAAAAGAAAAATGAGTAAAATATAATAAAACGTAAAAAATTCTATTATTAAAAATTGTTATTATAGCTTAATTTTTTTTTTTTTTTAATTTCTATCTATATTCATTGTTATTATAAAATTATATATATATATATAAATATATATATATATACATTTATTTTTGAAATAAATAAAATCTATATTTGCATATAAATTTTATAAATTAGATATATATTAATAACAAAAAAAAAAAAAAAAAAAAAAAG